CTCGCATGTTTCTGGGTGGCAAAGCATCTGTGGCAAAACGGTTTGTAGCTTGTCGACTTCCGTTATGCATTGTGGGCTTTAAATATAAGGCAAAATATAAATAAATTATTCTGTCCTAATTGTAAAAATAATAGTGCTTTTGTAGAAAAAATACAGGGAGGAGTCTTCAGTTACCACGAAGATATCCTTAAATTTGGGTGTAGAATTATCATAAAATATACCAAAAAGAAACAAAAAGTGGTCAAGAATCAATGAAAAAATGAGATGAATTACCGTCACTACATTAGTTAGTCACTTATTCAAAAGTGTAAACACTAAACAAGCCAAATGATAGAAGTCAGGTTGCTCGGGAAAAATAGGGAAGGCACTGCTTGTTATACGTGTTTTGCAATTAGTATATGAGGCAAATGAGTCAACCAGCTTTCTTTTGTAAAAAAGTATTTTAGTACAAATAAGCGAAAAATTCCTAGTGGGTACAAAACTTTATTGGCTTAAAAAGGATTCTAAATATTCATCGAATTTATAGCCTTATTGTACTCTGGAAGAACTCAGATGATCTTCCGGCAGACCCAATAAGAGGCTTGCTTCGAAATGTGTTTGTAGGATTTGAGAACAGAGGAAAAGCATACTCACCGCACCATCTTCCATTGCTGCAGTGTTCAATGCCACACGACATTTCACGGCATCGTATTTGCACTAAATATCAAAGCAAAGTTAACATACACGTCTCTAATGGATCGTTGAGACGCCAGTTTGCGCAATAGTAGCAAAGTATTCTGTAGTAATTATAATCCCAGTAAACGATTCAAATCCAAATCCGCTCGTGGTCATGAAGCCAATTACATGTGCAATCAAAATAAAAAAAAACTATAAGCTTTCAATGCAGCAAGCAGAAATTTTAGCAAGTTTGCGGTTGAAAAACTAAAAAATAAAAATTGGAGCTAATGGTAAATAAAAATAAACCAAATTTGTAGACCGGACGAAATACTTTGGCTGCAATACACAATCTCGAACCAATTCATGGTAAAAATGACTTTATCAAACAACAAAACAAATGTTTCACGATCTCCTACTTTAAGCTATGATATTCTGTATGTAGCAATGGGTCCGCATTGCTATATAAGAATAGCAACACATACAGATGCAACAATGTGCAAAAAAGTGCAAAACCTGCTTATAGAAATTTTTGTCCCTAAAAAGAGATAATACCTTTCAAAATTATAACCATTTTAATCCTGAATTATCATGATGCGAGCAAAATTCAAGTGCATTACCACAATAGCATAAAAACGGGTCCTCACCTCCTTGTACTTTTTCTTAATAAATCTTTTATCACATTCCGCATAGTCCTTTTTCAATTGGTGTAGTTGCCATCTCCTTCTAAAGAAGCTCATTGGAATTCTATACAGAAATGAATTATTCTAAACAAGGCGGGAAGCCAACTAATTGCGCCTCGCATGTTTCTGGGTGGCAAAGCATCTGTGGCAAAACGGTTTGTAGCTTGTCGACTTCCGTTATGCATTGTGGGCTTTAAATATAAGGCAAAATATAAATAAATTATTCTGTCCTAATTGTAAAAATAATAGTGCTTTTGTAGAAAAAATACAGGGAGGAGTCTTCAGTTACCACGAAGATATCCTTAAATTTGGGTGTAGAATTATCATAAAATATACCAAAAAGAAACAAAAAGTGGTCAAGAATCAATGAAAAAATGAGATGAATTACCGTCACTACATTAGTTAGTCACTTATTCAAAAGTGTAAACACTAAACAAGCCAAATGATAGAAGTCAGGTTGCTCGGGAAAAATAGGGAAGGCACTGCTTGTTATACGTGTTTTGCAATTAGTATATGAGGCAAATGAGTCAACCAGCTTTCTTTTGTAAAAAAGTATTTTAGTACAAATAAGCGAAAAATTCCTAGTGGGTACAAAACTTTATTGGCTTAAAAAGGATTCTAAATATTCATCGAATTTATAGCCTTATTGTACTCTGGAAGAACTCAGATGATCTTCCGGCAGACCCAATAAGAGGCTTGCTTCGAAATGTGTTTGTAGGATTTGAGAACAGAGGAAAAGCATACTCACCGCACCATCTTCCATTGCTGCAGTGTTCAATGCCACACGACATTTCACGGCATCGTATTTGCACTAAATATCAAAGCAAAGTTAACATACACGTCTCTAATGGATCGTTGAGACGCCAGTTTGCGCAATAGTAGCAAAGTATTCTGTAGTAATTATAATCCCAGTAAACGATTCAAATCCAAATCCGCTCGTGGTCATGAAGCCAATTACATGTGCAATCAAAATAAAAAAAAACTATAAGCTTTCAATGCAGCAAGCAGAAATTTTAGCAAGTTTGCGGTTGAAAAACTAAAAAATAAAAATTGGAGCTAATGGTAAATAAAAATAAACCAAATTTGTAGACCGGACGAAATACTTTGGCTGCAATACACAATCTCGAACCAATTCATGGTAAAAATGACTTTATCAAACAACAAAACAAATGTTTCACGATCTCCTACTTTAAGCTATGATATTCTGTATGTAGCAATGGGTCCGCATTGCTATATAAGAATAGCAACACATACAGATGCAACAATGTGCAAAAAAGTGCAAAACCTGCTTATAGAAATTTTTGTCCCTAAAAAGAGATAATACCTTTCAAAATTATAACCATTTTAATCCTGAATTATCATGATGCGAGCAAAATTCAAGTGCATTACCACAATAGCATAAAAACGGGTCCTCACCTCCTTGTACTTTTTCTTAATAAATCTTTTATCACATTCCGCATAGTCCTTTTTCAATTGGTGTAGTTGCCATCTCCTTCTAAAGAAGCTCATTGGAATTCTATACAGAAATGAATTATTCTAAACAAGGCGGGAAGCCAACTAATTGCGCGCCGACCTTGGAGCAACTCTGCCAAAATGACTTAACAAAGATATGAAGTTGGTTTCAAACACTACATTATTTAGTGCAAGCCTAGATCAGAACTTTTTCAAATTGATGTTCTCCTGAGAACTGAAAATTG